CAAGGGATTTATGCAAATGAAGAATTTTATGAACACTTTCTGTACAGAAGACTTTTGCGCCTTGAGATGAAGGTCTGCGCTCGGTGGTTCGTCTATCAGTTAACGAGGAAGCAGCCGCAAAACGCAGTCTGATCTTGATATGTCGTTGACATTGGGGCTTCCAAAAGATAGAAAGCGGACAATTGAGGCATGGCCTCGCGTACGCTCGTGAATTCTTCATCTGCAAGATTCCAATTGAATATTGAGTACTGCGATCGACGATCACAAACCAAGAACAGGAGCAAGAACAAGAAAGCGCTCAGATCGATCTCACCAGCACGGGGTTGGCAAACACCAAAAGTCTTGCCTCTCAGTCCTAAAAAAGAGCTGCCGTTGGCAGGCGGCAGTTGCGTCTGCAACTTGAGAGAGTGGAGTGATAGATTTGAACACGTGGAATCGACTTAGGGCGGCCAAGATCGTTGCAAGCGAGCGACCGATTCAATCTCATAGGTGAGGGGTGACAATAAAGTATCTGGCAGGTGACCTTGGGCCGATGAGGCGTAATTTAAACCATTTTGGCAACTTCGAAAGCTTACGAGCTTAAGATAGGTGGGGGTGGGTCGGTCATGGCAAAGACTAGGCCAAGGACGGAAAGTTGGAGCCTTGAGCAGTGCAGTGCAGTGAGTGAAGTGGAAGGCAAACAAGGCCCAACTTTGCCGGAAGTGTGCGGGCATCTTGCAGGCTTGTGGGCGGAATGTTCCATACTGAATCTATTAACCTTCAGTGCAGGGCATGATTGTCTCGAGAACGAGGGACAGAATGTACTGCCCAGTAGAGGGATATCTCAAAGACTGACTTTGTCTGAAGTAAAGAGGACATTGCATTTTCACCTGGCCCTTTTCTACCTAAGCACAAGTCCAAGCCTTATGACTTGACTTAAATAGTAGTTGGCCTTTGGAAGTCACTCGGATTAGTATTCAACCGGTCCAGAGTGGGTATCGTAGTCAATACTATAAGGGGCTCTCCTGGAAGGTGAGCAAGATTCCCCTATGAATGAGTCGATCACATCCTACACATCTTCTGAATTGATCATAACTTGTAACACCATCTATCTTACCTATAATCACGAGGTTTCTCGTTGGTTTGATCCACTCACATGCAACTTCATTATTTACAGGTGAGAGTGGCATCAATGTAGATGCAAGTTGGGTCTTCAAGACTCCTTTAACCCTTCGAGACGCATAATATTTTAAATTCTTATGTCATTTCAGATATCATGTTTGCCATGGCACAAGAGCTGAATCAGTCGCAAGGTGTTTGTTTTGATATGCTTTGCATTTGACTTAAGTTGATGCATGACCGAAACTACTTTTTGAGAACAGGTATTGTAAAAGAAAAGGTCACAAATCTTACACATGAAAGTTTTTAGAGAGGATGCTTATATATACATGTCATTCACACGTGATTCACCAATGACTCTCAGCATGAGGGTGTACATAGAGTTTGCTTAAGGTTTAGGACTTAAACCCTAAACCCAAAACATTGTTATGGATATGTGAATGAGATCTTTGAGGTGTTATACTAGGCCCTGACCAATATAGACGATAAGGGTTACGTTTTCATATTTTGGCCAAAATTTATCCATTGGGCATGTATCATATTTCAGAAGAAATGCATCCATCCTTCACATAGATTAATAACTGAAATCCAACATAAAGTCTTTCATATTATATAATGGTTTGTTAATGCTATTTTAGTATATGTACCGTTGACCCAGACATGTAGATGCACAAGACTTATTTTCCACTGTGAGGCTATTCTGGCCAAGACCCGTGAATGTCCGAATTGATGTTGTCTTCCCATACTCTTTTCTATATTAATGAGCTCCCCCCTTTCATCCGGTGTCGTCAACTTAGGAATCTCCACATTTCTAGTGCGATGCAGGATTATGCGCTCAAAGGAATCAATGTGCGAAGTCTCAATAGAAGACTGTGTTTGAAAATTAAGGAATAATCCAAAATCTTCTTAATTTATCTGGTTCATGTACCATAGAGAAAAGGCCCCAATGAGTGCCAAAACCCTCTCCGAGGTCATGTCACTCGGTTTCTGAAGCTTATAGTCAGCATGGCTTTCCGTCCTTAGCTGTGGGAGCTCAATGGCGGTGGAAGCCGCGTCATGTTGGGGGCGAATCACTCACTAAAGCTTGCAAGGGAGACCGGCAGAGCATCGGATGGACGTGGACACCGGATGCGGCCGAGTAGTTACCGATGCGAGACGTGGATTAATCACAATATGAGAATGGACATTTTATTTCGTGGCGATGAAGAAAGCTGTGGAAATCTGAGTTGTGGATATGTGGCCGCCATTTCTGGCATCTTGTCATATTGACAAGATGCCATAAATGGCGGCAATTGGCGAAAGCATAGAAGCATTAGAAGGACACGGGAAATTCCGTCCAGATCTCCCTTTTATTTTCGTAGAAGGAGACTCCTAAGATTGCTGCGCTCGGCATGGCGGTCATGATGATATTACCCAACTGCACCTTACAACACGAAGCTGTGCGTTTGACAGTGTCGATGCAGACCATAGAGTCGAAGTTCTTTGGGAGAAAGACCAGGGAGTGCTAATGATCTCAACCTCGAATAGAGGAATATCTCGTGGAGGAGGACTAGGGGAGGCTAATCTTCAAACCTGGCAAAGACCTGGGAGAGCTGATGATCAAATCCCGGCAATGGAATATCCACCGCAAAGTTTAAGGGTTTTGGCATAGACCCAAGGGAAGGCATGGAAGCCACAATGGCGATCGGAGTACACGTGTTGTTCTAGAGGTTGCAAGCATGAACATACACTCAAGAAAATAACGTACTCAAGGAAATGCGTCTCAGAGCAAGGACTGTAGCGTTATTCTTCCGAGCCCAAATAAATAAAACTGGCTCCTAAGATGTGAGATTGAGCAATTAAATTGCCAATTCGTGCAGTCACGTGCCCCACCTCGACCATGATGTTGTGAACGCGAGAAAACGTGGTTTTTGTTTATTGTAAATCTGCGGAACCCAAGAGAATCTGGTGCGACGGGTCCCACAGCTCTATTCGTGATGAAACCGCAGGGGAAATAATGTGCTAATTATTCGAAGATCGAGCAGTCGCCAGACATTTACGCGCTTCTAAGGGTCCAAGGGCTGGTCAAAATACACTGCAGTGCCCACCCCGTGTATATACGTTACAAAACTTTTCTGTTTGATCTTTATCAACCTTCCCACAACAGATTTGGCGCGTTCCTAGAATCATATCCCAGGCCCAAAAAATAGCTTGAATGCTATTAGGCAAGGATTTTTTTAAAGTAAGTTATCTCCTCGGTGGAAGAGGAAGGTGCAATTCTCCCACTGCAGACTTAACTGTAAGTCATTACTTCAGCCAAACTTTTGCATCCAAAGACGAAACATTTCTATTATTCGTTGCAACATATCTTATATTTTCAAAAGCGTTCCCATGTTCCATAAAGAGACCTTCCATTCATCCATTCCCGAATTAAAAAAAACTGAGTACATGAGTAATTTTTTCAGCTCGAGGTCTGAGTTCTACAAATGAATTGCATACGTATATAAAGAAGTAGATGTCAGAAATTGAAATATGTAAATTTCGCTGTAGTATGTAGTATGACGCTTTCTATGTGCCTGTCTGTGGGGATGTAGGAGTCAGCGGTAAGAAGGGATCTTTGAAGGGTAATACTTTGGGAGTAGACTTTGTTCTTGCGATCTCTGTTTGACCTCTGTGAACCATTTTGACTTACAAACTTCACTAACATCGAAGTAAGTACATGATTTAAAGCGGAACTTTGTGTGTGCCAAATTGTCTACAATTCCATTTGCAAAGGGTTAACTATGTCAACAAGTTAGCGATGGTTTGAACTTTACACGCGCATAGTGAATGCATTTGCACTTAGAAAGTTGTCGGAAGGGACTTCCGTGGTAAGAGATGAGTTGCAATAGGCGAGTATTTGCAATCTCCATTTCATCACAAGTTATATATTTTAGAGTTACACACAGTCCTCCTATATTTTGTTCTTTAAGAGCAAATTGCATTCTTACGAAGTTGCAATAGGATGGATTATATTATATAAAGAGTTCTCGAAAGGATGGATTATATTATATCAAGAGTTCTCAAATCACATCTTCATCTTCTGGAATACGTTACATGACAATCAGCTCGGGAAAAGAGAAAAAAGGAAGTCTACACAAATACAGCAGCGATCCAATCCATCCTTACCGAACAATTACAAACTCTGTTCATAACTTCTTAGGAAGAATTTCACCTTAAGGATGTTGACATGACAGGAGCTGCGATGACGTAACCATGAGAGAGGTTTTGCCATCTGGTTTCTTGTTCCAAAGAATTGTTTTAGATTTTTCCGGAATTAAGAAATGGAATTATCACATGCTGCAGCTTGCAATTATCACACACTTGTACCGTTATTGAATTTCTGAAAAAGTTCCGTGATGTCAATCATACTGGCTTGTGTATATCGAGAGTTGTTGTAACTGGAAATTAGTCACCAGGTCGGTCCCTTAGAATCTGCCCTCGCCGCCCTAGAGAGAAGGTATTATGCGAAAATTAAAATTACATAGGGGGACATCAACTCAGAAATAAACAAACCTTTGAATTTGAAGGTGAGCCAAAAAGACAAACATAATATAATAATAAACTTTACATATCAATACTTTAAAACAGTTTACCTCCATTGAAGTCATACTCTAGGTCTTCATGGGTTCTTCCTTATATGGAGAACTACATAGTAAAAAATGCAGCTGGATCATATATATACATAGATCTATATCTACATACCTTAGTTGGAAAAGTTTACCAAACTCCGGTTGAAATAGAGTTTTTGGCAGATCTGTACAGGAGAAGTAATAGCTACGTGGTGTGAAATGATTCGGCCTCTTGAACGCTTCAACATTCTCGATTCGAAAGCTCATAAGCCGGGATCCCGAAGAGAGTAGAGAAGGGTGACTCCGGTGGACGTCCCGAGAGGCCGAGACCAAACCAGAGAGCCGTACCATGACAGGGTATTGTATTTGGTCGATAGGGGCATGAATGAAAACAAGACTCAGCCAGATTCCTGATCGTAAGGAACGGGGTCCATAGCTTTTGAGTCATAAATCGCCTATAAGGTGTGTAAGACGAGCACACCAGGTATTAGTCGGTGTCCGCTGGTAATGGTGTTCTAGACGAGAACAAAGAGAGAGAGAGAGACATCGAGAGTGAGGAGCGATTGACAGGGAGGGGAGGGCAGCGGAGGGCAGCAGACAGTGGCAGGCAAATGGAAAGCAGGTTCCAAGGATGGCCGTGTCTGCCGATTTCATGCTAGGGGCAATGAATTCTCCCTACCTGCTAAGAAACTCGTGCCTCGCCCCGTTTAATCTTGCATCTGCGTATGGCGTTCTCTGGCGCGCACCTGGCCCACTTTAACGTCCCACTTTAATCTGCGCGGACGTCTAATTGTTGCTATGCTAAACTTCTCGGCGAAGTTCCCCGTGTGCATATCTTCCTCGCCCGAGGAAGAGGAAGACCGTGCCGGCTAGAGCCACTGTCTAATTCCATTTGGGGAGTATGGGAGCGTTCTCTGCATCCGGTGGATCATCTGCCGAACAGCATGAAGCTGCAAAACGATTGCAGTTTTCTCCCATCTCAGATAACATGTCTTCTTCCTTGGATATCACGGCGCAAAGCCCAGAAGAATCTCCGCACCATCGAAGCTACGAGCGGCATCCAAGCTTGACTGAATTAATGCCAGATGCCATGATAGGCGAAATCCTTTCCCGTCTGCCCGATATGCGCGATTTAGCCCGGGCAAAACTGGTGAACACGAGTTTTCGTGAGAGTTCAGCCTACGTGAAGTACGTCAAGTTTCTATGCAGACAGAGAAATGTGCTCAGAGGGCCTGGGCAAAATGGGGAATGTCTTGTACCATTTAAGGAGATTGTCACGAGCAACTTAAAAACTGTCAAGTGCGTGGAAAGACTGCGTCTGGAAATCGAGGATGAAATGCAAGCCAACAGGTATAAGGACGAAAACAACGAGAAGAACAGTCTGTGGCTCACCGAGGACAAGTTTGTTATGCAGTGGCTACCTCTTGTAAGTGCAACTCTTCAGAACCTCACCGTCATCGACTATGGACAGCAGGCCATCTTCCATCCCACGCCGCTTCTGCAGCATCTTTCGCACCTTTGTAAGTTAGATTTATGAATACTCTACTTTCTGTATGGAAAATTTGCAATCGGCAATTGATTGGGCTCTACAATCTCTGCTTTTGGGGCAGAGGGATTGTGTAACATCACGAGAGAAGTATCCCGTGACGTATTCGATGCTGGGGCCATAACTTGAAGAGATCAGGGAATGATAAACTGCAAGTCCTAAGCATGAGTAGGGTTTCCATATCTCCGAGACATCGAAACTCGGAGTCAGGCAGTGTCATGTAACACAGCTGTTTGTTTTACATCATTGCCCGTTGATTTCTTGTCGCTCAAGCTATCTCCAAGCAAGCAGATTGACTTGCGTTTTTGTTTTAGGAGGCGAATAGCTTTGAGTCACTCATACCATCAGAAATCACTCACCAATGTGATCGTGAACTTGAAAACGTTTTCTGTATGTTACTATCAGGTAGAAGGAATCATGAGAAGGATTGTGTGCATCTGATTGTAGCCAATGAACGAAGCTGTTTCAGGTGTATGACCAGCTCAGTGCGATGTCGTTTCTTTGACAGAACTCTGGAGTCACCTGCAACCTAGTTCGCAGGATAGTTTGGAACTAGCAGCCTCAAGTCCATCTGGCATGTGTCAAATGCTTAGCTAGTACATTTAATAACCTCTCCTTCTGTTTTCATGGTGCTTAGGTAAACAGCTGCGGACCTTGGAGCTGAGGAATATGTTTTTGGATTGTTCACCCAAACAATGCGGTACGACAAAGGATCAGATTACGCAGACCAGGCTGAAAGATGTGAGCACTCTGACACTGCGCTGCGTGAAACTTACTGAAAACGGGTTGGACGATCTGAACACGGTCATGCCCAACCTGAAAACACTCACATTGGTGACTGTGGTGGGTCTAAAAGATGCAAAGTTTGTATCTGAACATCTACAGGTGTTGTGTTTGGGACTGGCTACCAAAGTAAAATCTGTCAAGTTGGTTGTGAAGCAGCTGATCAAATTACAACTGAAGATGGCTTGTCCCGAAGAACTGAAAGTGATCGCGCCGAACTTGCGATGCTTGGCAGTTTGTATGGATAAACGGCCGGATACTAAAGTGGAATTCGAGTGTGTGAATGATCTACGGGAACTTCTTATGGGTGCCTCGGAATTTTCAACGTTGCACGATCTCTGCAAGCATAACAGACAGCTGGAGAAAGTGTTTCTCGATGTACCTTGCATGGCCTTTGAAGACAACGGAGGGTGGAAAGGGGTCTTACCTCATGTAAATCTGAAGAACCTCCCTGACATGAAACACATAACTTCATACTGCACTCAACTGCATACATTGAGCGTGGGTCCTGGCCTCTGGCACGCATTGGAGCAGGATATGATGAAGAATCCAGATGTCTTTTGTCCAACGTGGCCGAATCTGACGAGGTTAATCTTGCATCTCATCGTTCAAGTGATAGATGTTAGCATAAAACTTTTGAAAGCACTAGTGGATGCCATCCCTACATTGAAAACTCTAGAGGTGTATGTGCACAAGGACAGCAAAGTAGACACTCAAGAATTTCAACAACTGAAGGAAACAGTGAAGGAACTGGTTCCTCGAGTAGACTTGAAATTGGACAGTTGGAAGAAGGGATTGAAATTTGAATGTTTTAGCTTTTAGATAGTCGTACATTAGGTCTTGGACATATGTTAGCGGTTTAGTCTCTTAAGTTTGGTGAAGCAGTTTGTGGAAAATTGGCAGACTGTTGATATTCAGCTTCTTCTTCCCTTCGCTTCTGGTAGTTGGAGTGCATTATCAGTGTTCCAGTATCAGTCCTAATGCTATCCTGCGACACAGCAGGATAGCATTTACCAGATATACAGCAACGCTTCTGTCTGGATAGGCATTCAACTGGAGGCGAAGGAGTGGGATACTCAAGTGATAGCCGGGCTTGATGATAACAAACCATGGAGTACGCCCTTATGATCTATCGATGGTCTTTTCCTTTACATACAGTCCCGGACCTTTGGTGGTTAAGGATGAAGCTCAATCCATCAGTTGGATGCTTTCATACCAGTTAGTTCAGAGCCCTTGTTTTTCTTTCTGGGAGATGTGCTACCCAGTACCTATCCAACTGAGCTTGTGTTAAAAAATAGCTCAGAACCAGAATTTACGAAGTTTGTGGATGGTGTTGTCTTACAGACCGGTGCTAGATATCTTGAAAGATATGAGATGTCGTCTCAAGAATGAGGCTTTTCCTATGACCATTGGTGTCATTTAGCAGCATACCTTCAATTAGTTATTATGTAGACCAGTTTTGGAGGCCTTGTGAGAGTTAACTTCGTAGGCAATCAACTACATCACAACATGTTCTTGTCTCTACGATATTCGCTTACACAGCAGCCTCGCCGAGCCACACTAGATTCTAAGATATATATCCATTGTATAGCAATAAAGTCTTAGATTGTGGTGAGTCTTGTAGTTGTGTTGAGGTCGTGAAAAACGTTAAACTTACCTACTAGTTTCAATATTCTTTTTCTGCATAAACGTGTTGGCAGGCTTGATGTAGCAAGGAACCTTAGCCTGCAACATTATTTTTAACATGTGGGTGGGCTAGTCTGTTGTAACACCTTTGATTGAAACATTCGCTTGTACTGTTATATATCATCGAAGAGAGTGTCGCTGTTTATTATATATTACATACGAGAGGTATGCATCAAGTGAGTTGAATTTTATCAGAATTCGAAGTTAAACGTAAATGTGTTCGGAAGAAGTATTGGTTTCCCTATTTCTCAATAATGTTGGAAATGTTCTCGAGTGATGCAATTGCATCCAAATCCAAATGAAAGCATCCAACTATACCTCTTAGTACTGTTGAAAAGTTTTTAGTCTGGAGAGTGCCGTAGTTTGAATTTAATTCGCCAGCTTGTATGATTGGAAATCAAATTTGTGCACTCAATTTGTCACATTTCGGCTCGTTAAATTCTCTCTCTGTATGTTACTGAACATGAGGGAATGCGTTTGACGCGGACTTCATCAAAATACTGTGAGTACTTTTCAACGCAGCTGACGCATTAAGTGATTCAAGGCCTGCTGATATGTTGCAACCACGTCTGACATTCTTCTCTGTATCGTCTACAGGCGAAGTATTTGTTATTCTGTGCTTATAATTTGAGTCCTTTCACGTATGCGGATTTTCCAATGTGGTATACACTGATATTGTTCGTCAGTCGTACATACTACCGATGTGAAATTAAGTTTCCAAAGCACCTCAACTCATGTCCGGTCGTCTGGCAGCTAATTGTTGACATTGTACATGTTATTTTCCACAGGCATCGAAGCCCCCAATATTACCAGCAGAACATAGGGACGATTTGTCCCGAATATGTCATATAAATGCTCCATGCAAGAAGACAACAAAAGGTTATGTGCAAACTGGCCACCAAGTTGATCCTTATTCTACACATAGTATAATTTTTCACAATACTACATAAACCCCAGAAGCATGTCCAGAGCATGGTCGGCCAGAAGCATGTTCAGTCCTGTCTTACGTCGGAAGGCCACATATGCGACAGTGCGAAACAATGGTGAACATTCGTTTTTTGCCACAGCAGACGTAGTTGAGCAGGTCCAGGCGGCTATAGATTGGTCCAGCTGCTTAGAAAGACCCTCAAGTTCGTATAGCCATCAAGGCGTAAACAGAGCTCGTTTTGCCTCAACCATCTGCTGAAGGCACCGTATATCTTCAGGTTAGGCCCAGCATGGTATGGATAAGTAGATCGCTACATTCCGCAGAGAATGACGAGGAAGTAATTGACGAAGGATGCTAAATGGTTACCGACAGAGCTCATCTCCAGAGACATTGGAGAAGTCGCTTCCTGGAAAGCATATGACAGCTTACGTTAACCTTTACCGATTCGGTTGACCCATGAAATTGCACATCTAAATTTAGCTGTCCCCCACGCAGTTCCTTGGAGGACAGGACACGAGGGCTAACGTGTTTGCCTGCAAACAAAAACTCGATCATGATCTGGACCACCTAATTTGTACAAGTGTTTTTTCCTCACGCTTGATGCCTTTGGTATGCAGAGTCCTGGTGGACAAAGGACAAGGACAAAAGAGCACAATAAGGGAAAAAGGGAGCCTCGGTGTCTCAATCGTTTTTTAATAACATCATCGGGAAGACCATCAGACATGTTCTAGAGCACAAGCTAGTCCTGAGATCTGACTGGCTCAACTCTGGAGAGTAAGCACAGGTGGCATATAGGGCCACGAAAGTCAACAAGGAATCGAAAGTCGCTCAAGCAGATCCTTATCCCCCACCATTCATTCATTGATTCTGTTTGGAGGTGTATCGGCCATCCGACCTACATCTCCCAACAGATGTAGGTCTAGATCATTGGACCACTGCAATCTGTTGGACCGACAGCGAGTGCACCTTTCCACATACTGCCATGTGTTCTGTTAGTGACGTCCAGAGCCAGTGGATCGATCGATAAAAGGTGAATTAAGTTTTTCATGTTATTGAAGCTTTTGATTTAAAAAGCTCTTCGGAGACACTGGGTGACTGCCACGGGCGGTCATCACAAACCTCGTTCAGTTTTTCTCGATCATATTGCCAGACAGGCCGTTAATTGTACATTACACCGGCCGCGCTCATCATCATGTGAAGGGGGAGGTTACTCCTAGAATTTCTACAATGCTGAACCGACTGCTGTATATTTTTGAGTTTTTAAAGCTCAAAATATCAAAGTGGAAGATGTTACTGCCTTCACTATTAGTTCAATTAGCCCTCCCTCCCTCCCTCCTTCCCTCTCTCTCTTTTGGGGCCACGTGAGCCAGACATTTGTGCATTTAACAGATGGCGATCGAGAGTCCAGTCGCAGAGGACGCAAAATCACGTAGGCATGGGCAGAATCCCCCTCTTTGGAACCAAGTCTGGACTCAGCCCGCACTGGGCGATGCTGAGTTGGCTCTTAAATCCACGTCGAGATTTTGCATGCAAAATGGTGAGCACTTTGATCGCAAGCCATGCAATGTACACCACTGTATGACCAACCACATAACGTACCGAATACAGTAGACCGCAGGACGAGAAAACTCGTGCTGACAGTGGAAATTAAATCACATATAAATAAATAAATAAATAAATGAATGAATGAATGAACGATGAATAGTTTCCAGAATCTTTGCGTGGCTTTGTAGCACGGTTGATTGGCTCTAAGCTGGCCCCTGGTTTGGCTGTCAATCTGGTCAAATTTGCAAACTCAGACCCGGTAAACTCAACCCGAGTTTAATGCATGGGGACAAAGAGCGTGGAGGAGCAGATAAAGCTCCTGCACCAAATCTGGCTCAAGATAAGGAACACATTACACCCAAACTAAACTACAAATCCAATAAGTCAAGGCTCAAGGAAGAAGACAGCAATCTTGGGTGTGCTCACAACTTAACAAGTAAAATCAAATAGCATAGAATTGAGTTGGGTTCATAGCCAGACTAATACATGTAGCACACATAGTCCGGCCACTAGTAGATATTGTGGTAACACATCCCTGTAAGATAGGTTGATATATGATAGGATTCACCTTACTGTCCTTGTAAAGCGATTAAGCAACAATGGTATCAGCTTCTTACGGTTAAGAATTCAAAAGATACAATCTACAAATTATGAAATAACAAATACAATTCATCATTTCATACATTTGATATTGAAAAGCAATAAATCTTTTGACAATCGGTTGTTCTTGTAATTCAATCTATGATACAATCTGAAACTTGATATTGTTCATTCTAATTTGATTTGATCATCTCTCAAAGTTGAATTTACTTTAAAGAATCCATAGTAAACTGAATTTCTTAACCTTTGATGAAAAGTATAAGCTTCAAGTTTTAAAATCGTATCTTAATAATATCAACAAGATGTTAGCCATAATCCAAGTCAGGACGGTATGTCGGCGACGGTGGGTTCAATGCACTAAATCAGTCATATTAGAGTTTCGGTCGGATTGTCTTTGCGTCTCCTATATTACTTGTCTGCTCCTCGCGCTGAACATTTTATATTTGTGATAGCGGGCGTATATTCTCTCGCGTACTCTCATGTGTGCAAATTCTTTTCTTTTTATCCTTTTCTTTTTTTACAGTATTTGCTTGAAAAATTAGCTAAAAGAAGTTACAAGAAAAAATCAAAGTAAGAAACTTAAATGTATGCATAGCCTTATGTGATGAAAGTAAAGAAACAAGTTGAAACCTTGAAGTATGTTTGCAAAGTGTTATTTAAAAGTTATAAGATTTTTGTTATATTTAATACATGTTTGTATCAAATATGAAAAAAACCTCATAATCATTGGAAAATTGCAAATTTTCAGATCACACTTGTTTTAAGGCTAAAAAATTTTACTTAATTAAGTGAGATTGGGATAAGAAAATTTGTTAAATGAATATGTGTGATATATTCATAAATGAACCTATCAAATTTTGAACTTTTTAATTATGGTAAAAAATTGTACAATTTGAAAAATATTTGATGTTACATTAGATGTGTAATTTAGATATGTGATTGTTCTAATTATATGCATTTAAATATATAGTTTTTGTATAATGTATGAGTACATAATTAATTAGACTTTTTAAATTTTTTATGAATAGAAACTTTTATTATAACTCAAGGAAATCATTGATTTATTAATTATCACATTTCTTGACTTACTCTTCAATGTAGAGATGATTTTCATACTCAATTGAACTCTAAATTATGATCTTTGAGTCTAACATCTTTGTATCAGATGTGTAATCATATCTAAACTTTCTTGATGAGTACATTATTCATTAGATATAACATCCCACAACTCAATAGCTTCTTATTGTTTGTTGGTAACTTTTCAGACAGCTTGCATACAAATATACTCTACTGTTGATCCCACAACTCAAGAGATTCTCATTGTTTGTTAGTAACTTTTCAGAAAACTTGCATGCTAATAGTGTCTACTTTTGATGATTATTTGATTATTATGCTCGAATCAGAAATCTTTCTAGACTTGTACTTCGTGAACCAGCAGCTTTTGCTCTTCCTTTTATATTCCTTGGTTGCAAACTGTTAACAATTTTCTCATTGTCATAATAACAGTTTGCATGCGCGAAAACGTCCAGTGCATCTTCGAACTTCTTCAATCGATCATTCAACCATCAATCAACTGGAATGTATGAGTTTATAATTCCCATAACGAGCAAAATATCAACAACGTATTTCCCTCTCCCAGGTTTTGCTTGAACAAGAATATCGTCAATGATCTAGCAATAATAGCTCCAATGTCTCTGAGCCACTCCAATGCTTACAATCCATATCAAGAACTTCATGTCAAACCCCTTTGTTTGAACGACAATTTAAAAGAAATCAGGAGTTTTCATGTAGCATGAAATCAGTAGCATGAAGCCCTAAAACTACCTGCGAACAACTTGTTGATGACACTGGAGCAACTGAAACTCTTCCACTGAAATACTCATAGTTGCTTTGAATTGGCATTAACAAAGTCCTTTCTGCCATGCTACAAGTGGTTGATTTTGCACGATGTGCTGCACATGTACTGGCATGCATGAACATTAAGGTACAATACTCATAAACTGAAGGCAAAGACTTGACCAGTCATGGTATTGAACGAATTCTCCTCTTCGAGTGACATGACCATCTTTACTAAGATTGAGTGCAGACAGTGGAATTCAAAGTATATTGGGCTTTTTCGCACGAACTATGATAGTACAGTTCCATGAAGGTAAAAATACCTAGACGAAACCAGAAATGGAAGACAGACTACTTTGATATTTAACCTCAGTCACTTCACCTACGTAGGCTTCATGTGAACGGACTTGTCACCACGCAGGTGACTACAAAACCTGTCTGATTGCAGCATGGAACTTCACATGGCCTCTTATACATTCATATCATTGCTTCCTGGAAATCATAGTCATATTTTGCGGCGGACACACCGAAAGAGGGCTCCTATCATGAGCTGAACTCTCAAAGCAAGTAATACAGAAGAAAAGCTCAGAAGAAAGTGAGTGCAGAAAAAGAAGAGAAGTGGATCATTTGCCGTCTGATTCACCAGACGAAACTTCTTTTTCACCCCCGGTCAATTCGACCATGTTCTCTTTAAATGCAACGTACTCGTACGCGACATTAATCTCTACCTTTGCATGTGTTGATCTCTACCTATATTCTAACAAACCGCAACAACTCTAAAGCATACAAATCCTTTCACTATGTTGCGCGTACTTGTGCGTGAGGCGTCAATCTAGAATACAGAATTTTGTTTCACCTATTGCGGTGCGTTGTAGGCTTGTCCACTGCTATCTCTGCAATTTCCATCTTCTGCCAGCGTTCCATTGTTGTCCGCGAGATCGTGATGATTCTTGAGTCTGCTGTCACCTTCCCCGCTCTCACGACGGAGGCTCCAACTGCTCGCGCTTGACAAGCTTCTTGCAGGTTTCGAGTACGAGTTTTTATTTTGGTCAGGTTACGATAGGGCACAAGTGCGAAGTAAACAGCTCAACAGTTGAGAAAGTATTAGCTAGAACTGAAGATTGCTACTCCTAAATAGTAAGTAAGTCATGGGCAGCAGTCAGGCGATTGCCCAGAGAGTCTAAGGAACTGTCCGTCTGTTATTACAAACTCCAGAACGACTGACAAGGCGTAGAAGAAATGTTTGGGATACATATGCCTAATGGAAGTGTACCTGTGCAAATGGGAGCTCCTCGGTTGATGAATGCCTTGACGATAAACTACTGTTGGGCAGATGTTCGCCTTTCACCTCGAGACAGGCCCACAAGAAACACAACGCAGCTCGAGAAATGCTCGGAATCCATCATTCCGAGCCTTCGGGCAAGAATCAATCTTGCACGACTTCGATCGCCTGGACAGAATCACCGACGTCTTCTCCCCCGCTGGGACCTAATTTCTGCAGGGAATCGGCAGAGTCTTCGTCCGCAAAATGCTTATCGATGATATGGTCGATCACGTCTTTGCCCACTTTTTGAGTTTTCTCATCCTTCACCTGAATAAGAGTGTGTGTGGACGCCCATAAAGGTTTGGATCCCTTGAAACTGACATCTACTCTCCGCCACCTGTGCTTATTGAGCCCTGCCACTATCTCCTCTTCGACGGGATCTGAGGCCGGCGCTTTTGTGGGGTCCGGATCCTCGCATTCATCCCTGACAATATGCGGATATTTAACATCAACAGGCTCGAGATTAATGACAGGCAGTTCGGATTTCCTCCGTATCGAGGCGGTGCGCCACCCCACGGCATGGTCGGATGACACGTTTGCGTATGCTGTTCTGTTCTTGAAGGCCGCCAGGCTTGAAGAGAACGGAAGCGGTTTGTCCGTCACCATCTGCACAAGCAAAGGCTTCTCACCTTTCTTCGGATTTCCGTCTGTCATATACAAGTGCCTTCCTGTGACCCCAACGATCCAGTGTGCAATGAGAATTGCAAGCTTTTCAAGGACCGAAAGGCCCATGAGCAAAGGAAGGTTCTCATTGCCCCTCGATCCTAGATGCGGTGTGGCCACTGTGATGAAATTGACTGGTTCCAATCCTGCAATCGTCGGGTTCGGATGATCGCTCCCAGGTTCACCTGGTTTGTAAAGCACAGCGATGGCGTAGCGCGCGACCAAGCCTCCGAGAGAATGCGCAATGAAGGAGATTTTCGTTAAACCTTTCCTGTCCTTGCTTATCCTTTCGACCTCATCGGCGAGGCGGCGGCCCATGGTGTCCACACCATGAAACGTATCCCAAGAAGCATTAGATCCGCTACAATGTAAGAGAACATTATGGCGTTTGAGTGCAAACTCTCTCGATGCGAACTTCCAATCCGTAGGACTGCCAATAATTCCATTCACGGTAATCACCAGATGCCCTCTTACCCACTTCATCTTCTCCTCTATCGGAATCCGATGCCTACCCTTCTGCCCATCACTGCAAACACCGGTTCCGGATCCCTCATTCTTACGTCCCTCAGCGACGAGTGATTTCACACCGCAAATCCCCAGGAATCCGCACCTATCCGCTTTTCTCGTCGACGTCGAAGTTTTCATCAAGCATGTGTAATTAGCCTCTCCCTTCCTATCTCTCTGTCTCTCTGTCTCTCCACTTGCAAGCACTCGCACCGTTCTCCACTCCTGATAGTCTAAACTACTCAATCAAATGTCATGGAAGGATCCACCATCGAAATTAGTAAACCGAGCAATTCAACATGACTGAAAAATAGCCTGCATCAATCGAAACAAGCGCTCCACGTCCGGCTTGCCCTCAAGACACGGAATTGCACCAGGTTCTCTTGGGTTATCTGTCCACGATACATGCTGGCACCCAATTCGGCCCGTGACCATCCACCCGGTCTCCTGCTGGAAAGCTTCGGCACCAGAGAAAAAGGAAACTTTTTCGTCCGAAATTACACGCGCTCGAGGCATATTCATCCCAGCGTTACTGGACCCGACATGTACCTGGAAGATGAAGCCTGCGGAGGAAGTTGCAACAACTAAACCTCGAGCTCTTCAAAAACCATGTCGTGAATGACACCGGCTGACAGATGGCCACACCCTGGGAGTATCAATTCTCCCAATGCTGCAGTTTCACCTAACCTGGATCCAATCCATTCCCCTTCTGCAACGTGCTCACCGGGACAAACTTTGATTGATGCTCTGGTCGAATAGATCGACATCATCGCAACCAAATATTACTTAATAATCTCTACAGAGCATTTTCTCCCCACGAATTTTTCGTGCTGTGCAGTACAAATGGCATTTCATTCTTGGATCCTCTTGATTTATAAGCGAAAGAAATGAAGAAGTTTCTTGCTTTATAATCTGTACAGAGAATTTTCTCTCCTGAATTTGTCGTGCTGTTGCAGTACACACACTTGTATACTCTTGATTTACAAGCGAAAGAAACGAAGAAGTTTCTTGCTTTGATTGGAATAAGACTTTGGGCTACCACGAGATTTGGAGTCTTTCTGTCTCCGCGTCATCTTCAGTCAAGCAAAGGCTGTTTGGATGGACGACCTCTCCATGTCTTCGCTGTTTCTTCACGTAAAGATAAGTGTTGGAGTGGATCCTGAGGCACTCCAAGATCAGTTTGGAGTGGGTCTTGCAATGGAGTGTGAGTAACGTTTCTTTGACTTATTTTGGGGACTTCTCTTAAGTTGGAAATTACTCCATTTCCCTTTGAACTTCTTGTCCATTACAGAAATTATTATTTTTCAATTCCATATTCATGGAGAGAATGATGAGAAAAAGTACATGCATTGAATTTGATGTATTGCTTGGTCTAGAATAGAAAGACAAGGTCAACAATTTCCACCTACCAGTTGATCCCAGGATTGTTGACCAGTCTTTGGTTAAAAATCACCAAGTCTTCAACAGCGATTCTAATCTGGTCTATATGCATTTTTCTCCAACTCTAATCATAATGTGGTCTACATGAAGAACTTACATATATATGGTAACTTCATGTCTAAAATAAACATCATCAATCAAATTTATAGATTTTGATTCTCACTTATCATTACTTGTTGTAGTGCAATGCAGAGTATTGTTCACTTTATTGAATGGTCTCTCAAACTGTGTATCAATACATTCCATGCATCTTCAATCTCAAACGTTGTCTATCTATCATAGTCATTGATATTTGCAAATCTTGGCAATGAAAAGTATCTCCATAGATATTTTTTTGCGCATGAATAATTTTTGACACTGATGTTCATGGCAAATATTCTCAACATCAACCACATGAGCCAACTTAGCCCATTTTTTAAACACATTGAGTTATTTACATATGAAAAGCTGTAACCTCTATCATCTTTTGAACAATATCATAAGTATCATTATCAATATGCATGTGTAAGAATTCTTTCACTAAAGAGAGGGCAAACAGCTGATTTGGATGTGACTATAATCTCCTTTCATGTTTAGATATATATATATATATATATTCAATGTGCAAGCACAAAATGAGTGGTTGCTTTTTATCAATAATAATTTGGATTGATATTAACAATGTCAAATAAATGTTACTCAAAGGACTTGAATAAAAGTAAATATAAGCAACTGTAAAATATTGCTATTGTCAAAGAAAGAGATATACAAACTTCATATATGTGTGAGAAGATATATTTGTCATGAATTAATTATGTTACAATGCTTGATATATTTTTATAAATATATCATATATAATCAATTTTAATAATATATACAAAAAAAATAATTTCAAATGACTAATGTCGTGCACATACTTATCTTCATACAACATACATCGCTAACATGTCATACTCATACATACAAGAGCGTACACATACACAAATGTATCACAACTTGTGAAAGTCACATAGTCATAAATCACAACGGTCACATATAGTAAAGCCAAGCCTATTCCACTACTAGGAGAATTCAATCCTATGCTAATGGAAAACTATGGCAATTTCACTAAGAGCTACTTTGAACGTTGAAGGTTCAACTCGAAAAATTGAATGTTATTTTTCATGTGTATATGTGTTGTCTATAATTAGCATCAGATTAATGTGAACTCTAGTTGATTAACCCTAGGTTAGTTTCACTTCCGTCGGAGAGTGAGATTTGCACTTATTGTGTAGATCCGACTGGTCTTCAACATAAAAATCCACATCAAATTGAGCCAAATGCACTCCATACCTCGGAGACTACAAGTTGAACCTAGCAAAACACTGACCTACTAATACCCATTCTCTTTGCAAAAATCTCAACTCAAAAAACTGACAGTTTTTTGAGTCTGTGCTATCATACTCTCGGACAAGAGAGAAACTAACGTAGGCTTTATCTAGAATTAACTCAACTAGAGTTGACTCTAATTTGATGCTAATTATAAACAACGTGTGTGCATATGACAATTGTAGTGCAGATATGTATTGTCATACAACCTACATCGCTGACATGCCATACTCACACACACATATATAGGAAACAAGAGCTTATATATACACAAATGTATCACAATTTGTCTCAGAGTAGATGGTTGTTGGCCAGAACGGCCAGTTGCAACTTGTTTAAGAAGATCAATAGAACACACGAGAACTCGTGAAACACAAAGTGATTTTGGTGCTGCGTAAAAACGATATGCTTTTCTTATGTACTAACAGGTATTTAAAGACCAAATACACTAGCTAACTCCTTACTAAATGCACGGCACACACACACTACTGATCATGCCATCCCATGATCACGTACACGCCATGCACAATACTAAGGACTCGGATGCACTCTTGTGTGAACGACACACATGATTCGCTTCACCTCACAACGCAGCACGGCAAGAGCGAAAGAACCGAAGGTTAGTCTAACAGCTTGTGCATACCGGCTAATTATGAAAGATTAAACTCAAACAAGTAAACAAACTGGATTATATAACATCAGTACTCCTAATCTAATTGTCAAGGATGTTGACGACACCGATCTTCGAGCGCAGGTGTGAGAATCTAACATGACCAAGAGATTTGGTAAGAATGTCCGCCAGTTGATAGTTGACGTGAATCTTCTAGGCAATGACTTCACCTTCCTTGACACACTTCCCAATGAAGTGGATTCGCGTCTTGATGTGCTTACTTTGTTCATGAAACACCGGATTCTTGCATAGTTGGATGGCTGATTGATTCTCGATGAAGATAGTTACGACGCACATTGACTTCCCGTAGAAGCTTCCAATCCAAAGAATCTAGCAAGGCTTCCAGCCAAAGATTATGGTCTCGTCACCTCCTTGACAGTCATCGTTCCGACGTCGAGCATTGTCTTGATGGATATCGCGACTTGATCGAATCGTTCAAGAACGACCTACAACATCTTGTGCATTACTTTGATCTTGTCGTTGGTGTCGTTAAGGAGACGCAGGTTGTTGACAAAGCCGGTGATGCGCATGTGGAAGTTGTCGACAGATTCTTCATCCTTGAAGACGATGTTGTTGAAGTCGCACCTCAACTTTTAGGCATTGTCCTCGCGATCGCAATTGACGCTCATCCGCATGATCTTGACCACTTTCCACGCCTCCTTGGCACGTGAACTTTATCTTGATGGTGGACAACATCTCTAGCGGGACTGAACGGATGATCGTTGCTAGCGCCAGCCGATCCTCGTTGTATTCCACACCGCCAGGCTCGATTGCTGCGCACATGCCTTGCGCATGAAGGTTGATGGTCATCATGAACTTCCACTTAGAATAGTTTGTCTTGATCAACATCGGGTACTGGACGATTCCCAACGTCTCCTTGACAATTCGGCGAACGACAATTTGGTCGCCGTTGTCACGATGTCGGCAAGAGGAGGGCGAGTGGTGTCGCTCATGGCACGGAGTAGTCTACGACAGACCACCATGTGACACTATGGACATGATGCTGCTAGGAACACTTGAACTCCTGCTCTTATACCAATTGTTGGCCAGAATGACCCCTATAACCTGTTGAAGAAGATCAATGTAACACACGCAAATTTGTGAAACACAAAATGATTTTGATGGTGTGTAATACCGACAAACTTTACTTATGTTTCAAGCATGTATTTAAAGATCAAATACACTAGCTAATTCCTTCCTAAATCCACGTACACTCCATACGCGATCTTAAGAACTTGGATGCACTCCTGCATGAATGACACATGACTCGCTCCACCTCACGACGCAGCGCGGCAAGATCAAGAGAACCAAACACTACTCTATCAGCTTATGCATACCAGCTAATTATGGAAGATAAAATGTAAACAAGTAAACAAGCAAACAAGCTAGATAATGTAACAACGGTTAGGTACTCTAACTCTTAGATAACACTATACATCTACACTATGAAATACATTTTTGTGGATGCAAAGATAAGTAGACCAGGTGCAAAGTAAGTCTCATCGTTAGTTGCCTATCTGCAATCCATATCACGTGTGGATTGTAATAACCCACCAAAGGCTAAAACTGCAGTATAGCAGCAGAAAGGTGAAACCCACAGGGATAGAGGCAACACACAGAGTACAAAGTGTCACGTTTTAACAGACTATTGAAGAGTTTGAATTCTCAGGCGACTGTCACTCCCAGAAATACTACAAGTGCTCAACTCGGAGATCACTCGGAGGATGCACAGTGCAGCCTAGTTCATCCCAACACACACCTGAAACTGGAAAAGCACAACTAAGAGGTCGATTAGGACCTCCACTCAAGGTTCAAGGGGAAAGTTTCTCAAGAGTACACTTAGAGGATCTGCAGGTAGTGTTCCCCAACTCCGGATTGTTAACTCCGACTGATAGAACCGAGCACCCGGGTTGGACTTCCTACTTTGGATGCGGTACCTTCGTCAAACCGCAGTCACTCTCACGCGGTGAACAACACACTCAACTCACAAAACGCGCAGAGAATACAGGAACCGAATTGAGAAACTCAACTGAGACAAGTTCCAGTGTCATACCATAACAGTCTATTGACGAGTTTGAATTCCCATAAATACTGCAGAGGCTAGCCCTGAGGGCGTCTTTTACAACGTAACCTGAATTTACAACCAAGGCTTACTCGAAGTAACAAAACTTCACTTTGGCATTCAGGGGAAAAATCCCAAAGGAGTACAAACAGGAACAGTCACCCGAAGGTGTAAGATCGAACTACTCAAGTGTCTAACCAGTCTGCTAGCTTTGAGTATTCAGCAATCACCCGCAGGTGTAGGTCCGAACTGCTCAAGTATCTAACCAGCACACTAGCTTTGAGTATTCGGCC